GTTAGTTACACGAATTCAGTTATGAGATGAAATCGGATAGGGATGAAATTGTTTAGGGATGAACGGGTTTAAGAGTTTAAGAGTTTTTAAGAGTTTTAGCCAAATGCTTTATAATATAGTATAGATAGTTAATGCTAGAATCGTTAAAATAGAATAATTGTTAAAGTTGAAAATAATTTATTTTATAGATATTCTGAAATTTAATAATTTATTTTAACAAAAATATAATGTAGTTGTCGGAGATACTCTTGATAAATAATCTAATTATACGAAGGATATTACTGATGTATTTATAATAAATCAAGGATTAAATGTGTACTATATTCGAACTTTAAGATTTAAACCAATAAAATAATCCTCAGGTTTACGTTACGCGCGAACACTTGATACCCCACACTCAATCGTCACCGTCAAATGATATTGCCTCATAATCAACGGCTTAAAAGGCCTATCCGCGTCAATTGACATCGACCAATCACATCATTCCCTACCTTTTTATATAAATCGCCTCATAATCCTCTCCACCTTCATCCTCTCCCTACTAATTCTCCCTTGTATTTTCTCTCTTTCACAAACCTCTACTTGCTCAAATGGCACCAAAGGCAGAGAAGAAACCTGCGGCGGAGAAAGCTCCGGCGGAGAAGAAGCCTAAGGCTGAGAAGAAGCTCCCTAAAGATGCATCTACGGCGGGGGCTGATAAGAAGAAGAAGAGGAACAAGAAATCAGTGGAGACGTACAAGATCTACATTTTTAAGGTTCTGAAACAAGTTCATCCTGATATCGGTATCTCAAGCAAGGCCATGGGGATCATGAATTCCTTCATCAACGACATATTTGAGAAGCTCGCTCAGGAATCGTCTCGGTTGGCTAGGTACAACAAGAAGCCTACCATTACTTCTAGGGAGATCCAGACCGCCGTAAGGCTTGTACTCCCCGGAGAATTGGCCAAACATGCCGTGTCTGAAGGTACCAAGGCTGTAACTAAATTTACAAGTTCTTAGATCTTATACTGTAGATGCTAGGGTTTGTTGTGGAAAGATTGTTTTCTATATATTTCTGATATTGGTAGACCTATCGATTTGACGTCGGTAGTACCAAATGTGTTGCAATCTTCCATTTTTATTGAAATGAGATCAGTGTTTGGTAATTTGTTTCCCTTGTTATCTGTTTAAATTTCTTGGAGAATAAATGAACGATTTGGGGATTTTCTATTAAAAATTACACAATTGCTGCTCTGGTTAGGGTTTTGCATTTTGAGATTGAGCAGCATCATGATTTCCGAAATTCGTAAACAAATTTTGCTGACTACTGACCGTCATCGGTTGGTTGTGTAGTCTGATACCCTAAATTATTGCTCAAATCAAGTTGAAACCTTAGAACGAACCCATAAAATGTTCTTGATGAAAAACATTATAATTGAAATGATTAAGAAACAACCACAACACTCATTTGTTTAGACCAAATAAAAGAGACTTCAATGGTAGATCCATGTGGTTTGCTTATTCTAAACAGTCATTATTCAAGGCTTATTGTTTTCTTGGTAACTATAACCATTGCTCTTTCTATACAATCATTATTCAAAGGCTAATTGTTCTTAGTTAACTCCATTAGATTAGCAACACCAAGTTCTGTATCTATTGCTTATCATAACTTGTCATGGGCAACAGATCGAGGTGACGTTTCCCCTTGTTAATTGGTAAGAATCACCCATAAGCTATTTGTTCAAAGGGTAAAAGAATTGATAATGTGACAAAGATGTTAGGCAAACAACAATGCATCAGTTTGGAGGGTAACCATTCCAAGTCATGATGTGGTCAACACATGTAGTTCATTGTAGCCCCAGGCAAACAAAATGTTGAATTGAATCGTTTGAGTTTGAATACGAAGTTGAATTCAAGTGAAGAAAGAAAGAATAACGAATTGCTGAGATTGGTGAGAAAAGGGATTTGGACCATTGATCACTTTATATCTCAAACTCACTTATTAATCGTGTTTGATACTGTGATTGATCTGATGCATCTCATTTTAATGTGCATCCATCAAATAATATTTTCTAAGTATTAGACCATAATGAATTGTAAACTCAAACCCTATTTAGAGGGGTTATTGTAAATGAGAATTTATAGGCTTTTCTTCTCTTTATTTTTGTTATTTTTTAACATGTTATCAGCATGTATACTCATTAATTAACGACGAGATTGTCGTAATTCACCATTGTCAAATGATTGTTACGTCTGTTGCCGTCAATTGCTACTTCAATCCAAGTAAGAATTTTTGTATGAATTCATATATATATATATATATATATATATATTTGTGTATGATTTGATCTACATAATACATCCTTTTTTATTGTTAAGATTAATTGAATTGAAAAACATTTATAGATGAATTTCATGGTTATGTGATTTTGATTGAATAATAGAAGTGGATATTGAAATGCATTATAAAAACAATTGTTTAAATTCATATGGATTTGGATGTAATGATGTAAACTAAAATCATTATCTTATTGTTTCTTTTTTTGGCAATTTTAGGTTTTTGGATTTTTTTGTTGTTGTAGCAATAAATACGCGTTTTATTATTAGTTCTGATATTGTTTGATTTATTTGTGTTGTAGGATTAAATTCTTTTTAATAAACTAGGAGGATGTTCGTATAAAATAGTGAGATATATTTTAATTTTAATGTTTCGTTTTATTATTTATCTATGTTGATATAATATGGTTTTTAGTAGTTTTGAGAAAACACTGATTTTTTATTTTTGAATACAATATAAATTTAAATATGTCATAAAAATTTAGAAAAAAAATGTATGTCAATATTAGTATTAAATTTACTATTTAAAGTTCTGTTTTTTTTAATTTCTTTAATTCAAAATTTTATTTTGATTTATTAACGAACTAATTTATTTATCATTTAATAATATAATTTTTATAAAGATAATAATTAAGTATTTTGTTATAACTAATGATTATTTTAATTATATTTTAGATTTTTTATATTCAAAATAAGATATCTATCACATATTTAATTATGTTTATCTATATTTAGTTATACAAATTCAAAAATAAAGGTTTAATAAGTTGTATTTACACACAATTTACTCGTGATCTTGAATTGTAAGTAATATATATTAACAAACAATACTTTAAGCATAAAAAATGGTTTTAATAGTTCTTGTCAAATGATTTATGTGAACTTTGTATTCCATAACATAATAGATCAAAAACAATTCTATTTAAATCAGTACAAATCATAAATCAATCAATCAATGTTCAATCAATACAGTCATCCATAAGATTGAAGCTTACCTTGAAAGATAAGCAATCAAGATTTGGGGATGAGAAGCAATCGAGCTCCAAGAAAGTAAACCTAAACCGACAAAGAGCCAGACAAAAAACCCATAAAGAATCGATACATAATAAGTCAAAAAGAAAGAAGCAAAAATTGATACAAACCATAAATCAATAAGAAGCAATGGTCGAAACCCATGAGGTTGAAGCTTACCTTGAAAGAGAATCAACCGAGCTTTGGGGAAGGGAAGTTGACGGTGATTATAAGAAATATTGAGTCAAAACCACCCATTAAATATGAAATCAAACAATGGCTATCTACTCTTTAAAAAAAAGAGATTATAGGGAGGTTAGTTGGATTAGAGAGATTGTATGAACGAATTAAGATTTCAATGGAAGTGGTATGCTTTAAAAACATGTACGTATGCATAATTAACTGGTATTTTTGATTTTTAAATAATATGTACAAATTAATTGTACCTTATGCATGGTAATTTATTTTTAAAAAAATGAGCCAAATACTTTATAATATAATATAGATTATAGAGTTCATGAATAATAGTTAATCAATTATTTCATTGTTATTTATTATTATCTACTCATTAATATATTTAGTTATCTTGTATTTTAAGGCAAATCTATCCATACTCCTTTCTACTAAAACCTACATTTGATCTCTAATTTGTTTTTCTTCGTTTATACCCCTTCTCTCTCTCTCTCTCTCTCTCTCTCTCTCTCTCTCTCCGTCTATATATATATATATATATATATATATATATATATATATAGACGGAGGTTCAAACGAGAACCCCTGTGATTTACGAAATCGTTAGAACAACCCAATAACCTCAAATTTTTTTAATTAATTAATTAACTTATATTAATTATAAACAAATTAATAAAGGCAATAATGTAATTAAGTAATTTTTATAATTTGTATTTTATTTTAATTAATTGTTGATTGATCACGTATCCACGATTTTTCCTCTGGTTAGTTTTCTTATCTAATTTTCTTCTCCAGATCGTTCATAGCAGGTTGACAATCAACTTTCTTATCTCCTTTTCTTCATATCGTTCATAGTATCCATATTTTTGTCGATCTAGAATGGAGGAGAATGTTGTTGGTAAGGAAGTTTGTACAGAATCAAGTTATTCGAACGACGATTCCGAGGGCTTTTCTCAAGATTGTTTTTTTGAAGACAACTTTTTTGAAAAGAGTTTTGATAATGATGAGGAAGGTACGATAATAGTGTGATAACATTAAAATATGCCATAAATTTTCATGAATGATATTTTAGGCTTTTTATCACATGTGATAAAAGGTATATGGAATTGTGAATGTAAACATTTTTTGTCCATTTATAGTTATTGGTATATGTTGATTTGAGTTTAATGTTATTGTACTTTTGTAATTGAAAATTTTGATGTTTATCACATGTGATAAACATCCCATAATTTTCGTGACATATATTTGTTACCAGCTCATAGATATTGATCGCTCAAATCATATAACAAAAACAATTATTTGTGCATATCAATCCAAACAATTATCAGGAAATTGTAGTAGTGAGGTCTTTGTTGACTCCAATAACCTTCCCAGAAACAGGAGCGTTAATATCACTAGTAGTCATCACACTCTTAACTGCACCAAAACTGCTTTCTTGAGTTACAGTGGCTCCAACCTCCAGTAATTCAATGGAAACCACGCCTCCTAAATGGTCTTGACCATAGTCTGTGATACCAATGATGGCGGAGTTGCCTTTCAATTTGACCTATTCATGTGAGTCGGCATACTTCAAATATTTACCAACTGAACATATTACCAAAAACCACATGTGAATATGTATGTGGACTAGAGATGGCCAAACGTAACCGGCCCGGCCCGTAACTGACAGAGGCCCGGAACCGAGCCCGGCTCAAGACCGTAACTGACCGGGACCGGTGGTAACCGGTTATGGACCGGCGGTTAAGAACCGATTAGTGTTTTTAAGAAAATCTTGGACCGAAACCGGTTACGAAACCAATTATGGGCCCGACCCGGTCAACGAAAAAAAAGTCAAAAAGTCAAACTAGCCGTTTTATTCAGTCAAACTAGCCGTTGGACTCCCTTATGACCGTTTTTTTCATCTTCTTAGCTACCAAAACATGTATAAATAGATATGAGAGTTCCTTAGTTAGTTACCAACTCATCTCATCTTCAAAAACGCAAAGAACGCTATCAATTCTCGGTTTTTCGCTTCATTTTTTGAATTCGTTACGTATTAATTTCTTGTTTCCACTTCACAATTCTCGTTTATTTCTCTCTTTTACTTACGATTTACAAAATGGCCGGTGAACAACCCTCAAACGAACAAATTGCCCAATTTCTCGCCGAACACGGACGAAAGTCCGGATTTGGAATCACTACAACTTGGTGGTTCTCACGACCGGGAAACGAAAGACGCAATGCAAAATGTGTCAAACTCTCCTTACGGCGAAAGGAAATTCTACATTAAGGAGGCACACCGAAAAAACGTGCCCGGGGTTGAGGTTGGGGGGTGATTCGAGCCAACCGATACTTGACACACAAGGTCAAATCTGGAACTACGATGCCGATTTAAACCTACAAATGACTACACAATGTGTCATTCAAGTCGGTTTGCCTTTTGGACACTTCGACAACCCTCACGTTACGAAGATGATTCAAAAGACGCTACAACCACGATACAAGCCGGTAAGTCGTCAAACCCTTAGACGTGATGCTATAAAAATGTGGACAATTGCCAAAGACGAAATGCAACAAATGTTTTCTTCTTTGCCTAACAATATTTCTTTAACGTGTGATGTATGGAGTGCACCATACGGATTGCCGGTTTCTTATA